GCAACAGTACATACCTACTGACCTCACTTAAGTCACACATTAGGGATTCAATAGGCGGATTTAAAATAAAAGTCATCATTTATGTAACATCTGCCAGTAGTTAGTGTGTGTGGTGGTGAGATTTTTTAGCGCGTTCATTACTGATATATATATATATATATAGGCCTATATATATATATATATATATATATATATATATATATATATATATATATATATATATATATATATATATATGCAGAGATGGGAATATATACATCGTCAGTGTTTGACTGTACACACCTACGTTCTGTATCCTACACTTTTATTACTTTCTCGTGACCACCAACACTTTCATGGCCAGATTTTTTTCGCGTGACAAGTGTGTACACAACATGTTTTACCACCGTGTGCTGGTTGGCCGATCTGGACCAAAACACAAGTGTCCATGAATGTATTTTAATAGAACCTTCATAACCATTGCACTGATGCGTATATAGATCTTAGATATTTTTTTCCTCTCCAGAACATCATATACTCTTTTCCTGATTTTTTAAAAAATTTCTGGTAAAATATTAAAAAAAAAAAAATTCATAGAAAAATATGAGCGGCCACCAGTGACTGTCCGGGCTTCACTGAAGACGAGAGAGAGAAGACATTTGACACTAAACATTGACGTGATATGCGTTTTTTTTTTAGAACCGACAACTTGACCCTGTTAATGTTAGACCTACACAGTTGGGGGGGGGGGGGGGTAGACGCACTGTTTACACATCTATCTGTGCGGGCTTGCCGTTGTACGGCGAGGTGGGAGGGGGGGGGGTCGTATTTATATACATATAGGTACTATTTTCCTCCGCCCTAGCTTGTTCAGTATTCAGCTAATTGGGTACTGTTCCGTTCTTGTGTTGTATACATGGTGGTTATTGCTAGACAGATCTTTTTTTAGCGCTATTGATTTATGTTATATGTATTGTTATAGCTTGGCGATAGTTAGGATCTATTTGATGGATGAGAGGCAGTCGCGTTTGTTATTCGTGCGTTTGATTACGGCCGTCATAAACGTATTGACGCGATAGCCATCCGCCTACCCGAGACTCACACCCCCCCCCCCCCCCCCACCTCGCATATACTAAATGGATTAGCCCGTACTGGCGAAACGGCAGTACAGAACTTATACTTGAATTTTACTACTGTCATTACTGGCGAAATTCTTTTTTCTTGACTTTGACTAGCGGTAGAGTAGGGTTAGAGATCAGATTAGTGTTTGGTTCAAAATCAATATTTGATTTTTTAAAACACAGAAAAAAAAAGGATTTTGACAATACGGACAGTTTCCCAAATACTTCCGTTTCGCCAGTACGGGCTAGACCCAAACTAAAAAAAGTTTCCCTGTTAGTGTTAGCTTTAAACTCTACAAATAAAATGTCTGTTTTATACGTCTAAAAACGCCGGCAGTGCGCATAAAAGCTAGTTTGTTTACTAAGATCGCTACTGTAATCCTAACCAGCACCCTGACCATTTAGAAAGAAGTCTCGACAAGACACTGTTTGAGTATCGCCCTGTTCGTGTTCTAGAACTCAGTCCGTTCGTAAGTGGGTTTGTGGTAAAACTGTACTCAAAATCGCCTCGTAACTTTCCAGATTAGTGCGTCTTCGGTAACAATGCAAGAATTTCTAATTTTCAATTGTATTAGATATTAAATTAGTCATTAAAATACATTTAAAGATGAAAGTATTCACGAACAAATATGAGACACAGTAGTTACTGGATCAGGCAGGTGAAATGGTGTTCACGGATGTTCTTATCAGAGACGCTTGTAAGGGGCAGATAATTGACGTTTAGCGTCAATTATATCAAATACTGCTCGCTAAAATGTGTTCTAGAGACGTTTTTCTTTCTTATTGCTGCGCATTTAAAAGCTTGTTGCCATAATTTTATTTTTAAATAAGTTCAATGGAATTGCTTTCCTTGGTTTTGTTTACAAAATTCTTTCAAACGCTGATACTTTTGGTTAGCTCTTGCTGGACAATACTTTTTAAAAAAAAATTATACTAACATCTTTTTAAAGTGCCTTATTATTTGTCGTAAAGAGGTCAGCACTGCCAGCACTGCTACACCCGGGTGGGTGGGGGGGGGGGTCTATACTGCTGTGAGGTAACAACTTAGTAAGGCTATTGTTGGTAGTGTCTTAGTGTATAGGTTCACGGCTAGTGGTCACGTAACTAGTACAAGACCCACGACCCATACTGTTGTTTTGATAGGTTGGGGTAACTTAATATAGTAACGTTGATGTTGTTGAAATTGTCTATAACATAACATCGTCCATGGACGTTACCTAAGCTTGTATTTTATTGTCTTAATAAAAAATGGCCATAGAGGCCCAAATAGTGATCTTAAGAGACCCAATAATAATTGTATTCGGAGCGTCTTTATCACGTGTCTTAGGGTCCCCAATAATAGTTTTATGAGTCCCAATACCATGTCTTACGGTCCCTATAGTTGTTGTCTTAGAGACTCCGTGTTTTGCCTAAGTGGCCATTATACACTGCCTTTCCCACACTGCTTTAAAGAGGTTTCTGAGCTAACCTCGTACAATCTGTAACATTGTGTCCGTGTTTAGTACCAGACGAGTCAGACTGGTATCATTAGAAGTGATAACGGTTCAAACAACGCAATACAACAATCTTTGTTTTGTGTTGTGTGAGCATCAAGCGGTGCCAGCAGACGACCCCGTCTGGTCACCTCCCCCCCCCCCCCCCGCTCACTCGATGCGTCACATCGGCGCGTGACTTCATGACCATTGCTGAAATACAGGCCGTTGTTTGTCCCCTCCCCCCTTCCCATTTGCTCGTCGTGATTGACAGGAAGTAATAGCTGTACGTTGGGTTAACGAGGCTACGATTGCGGCCCTTTGATGGTGACGTCATTCTTGTTTGGAACTCGCTTCCTAGTTGTAGGAATGTTTTTAACGTTATACATGGGCGCATAACGTATCAAAAACAATTTATCTATAACTAGTACTAGTAGTAATATTCATACACACTCTCTCACACTGACTCCAGTTTGACATTTAGAGCACTACTGAGTACTATAAGTACTTTAATTACAGCTGGAATAGAATAGTTAATGTAGTCCACACACGCTAGATCAGAGAGTACAGTAGGCCTAGTTGTTTATTTATTTTTTACTGCTAGCGACTGGATGTTTAGTCTATGACTGTAGCAGGAGCCAACAGCTGACAAAGGGACGTGGGAGGGTTCATTATATTTGTTGACCGTAGACAAACAAAATCAAATACCTGTCTCTGACAGGTTGTCTATAATCAACCAGCAGTTCCCACATTTTTAGCTCGTATGTTTAGAAGTGGTTCCTTTTTAGAAAGTCAGCAAAACAGTGGTTCCCACATTTTGTTTTCAAAACAATGGTCCTCACATGGGTAAATTGAGGTTGTCTGTGTCAGTGGTTCCCAAAACTTGAGGTTGTCAGTGGTTCCCAAAACTTGAGGTTGTCTGTGTCAGTGGTTCCCAAAACTTGAGGTTGTCTGTGTCAGTGGTTCCCAAAACTTGAGGTTGTCTGTGTCAGTGGTTCCCAAAACTTGATGTTGTCTGTGTCAGTGGTTCTCAAAACTTGAGGTTGTCTGTGTCAGTGGTTCCCAAAACTTGAGGTTGTCTGTGTCAGTGGTTCCCAAAACTTGAGGTTGTCTGTGTCAGTGGTTCCCAAAACTTGAGGTTGTCTGTGTGTCAGTGGTTCCCAAAACTTGAGGTTGTCTGTGTGTCAGTGGTTCCCAAACCTTGAGGTTGTCAGTGGTTCCCAAAACTTGAGGTTGTCTGTGTCAGTGGTTTCCAAAACTTGAGGTTGTGTGTGTCAGTGGTTCCCAAAACTTGAGGTTGTCAGTGGTTCCCAAAACTTGAGGTTGTCTGTGTCAGTGGTTCCCGAAACTTGAGGTTGTCAGTGTGTCAGTGGTTCCCAAAACTTGAGGTTGTCTGTGTGTCAGTGGTTCCCAAACCTTGAGGTTGTCAGTGGTTCCCAAAACTTGAGGTTGTCTGTGTCAGTGGTTTCCAAAACTTGAGGTTGTGTGTGTCAGTGGTTCCCAAAACTTGAGGTTGTCAGTGGTTCCCAAAACTTGAGGTTGTCTGTGTCAGTGGTTCCCAAAACTTGAGTTTGTCTGTGTGTCAGTGGTCCCCAAAACTTGAGGTTGTCTGTGTGTCAGTGGTTCCCAAACCTTGAGGTTGTCAGTGGTTCCCAAAACTTGAGGTTGTCTGTGTCAGTGGTTCCCAAAACTTGAGGTTGTCTGTGTGTCAGTGGTTCCCAAAACTTGAGGTTGTCTGTGTGTCAGTGGTTCCCAAAACTTGAGGTTGTCTGTCAGTGGTTCCCAAAACTTGAGGTTGTGTGTGTCAGTGGTTCCCAAAACTTAAGGTTGTATGTGTCAGTGGTTCCCAAAACTTAAGGTTGTGTGTGTCAATGATTCCTCTTTTCCTTTTTTGTCTCTAGCACCATTCTGTTCTACAGTTTTGTATTTATTTATATATTTTAATGTAAATTATTTTGCACTTCCTCAGTGATACATTGTTAAAATGTTCTCAGCAGACGCAATCTTTGCAACCTTTCTCATTGCCATAAATAATAAAATTACTTATTTAACAAAAATAGATTCTAGTTTCTTATTAAAATATTTTGTTTTACAAAACTGCAATCTTATTTTAATTATATGATCAGCAAAAATTGTTCTTAATAATATCAACCTGTAGTGATTGATGCTTACAGTGTAATTATGGTGGATGTTTGTTAGCCAAAACCTCATTCATAAAACTTGTGTCCTTATTCCAGGGAGGCAAAGCATGAAGTGCTAACTGAGGGGTCTGAGACCTCTGATGTTTAAATTTTTTTGTCTGTTTTCATGGGTGAAGAAGTCTGACATTAAGATGTGTCTATATTCTAGAGTAGAGAAGTCTGATATTAAAAATTTGTCTGTATTCCAGGAAGGCGAAGTCTGATATTAAAATTTGTCTGTATTCCAGGGCGGAGAAGTCTGAAGTGCTGTCTGAGGACCAGCAGGAAAATGAGAAGAGGGTGGAGGTGGTGAAACATGTCTTTCAGAACATCTCAAAGAAAGCAGCGGCAGTGCTGCAGGCTCAAGGGACAGACAACGACAAGCGCCTGGTCAGTTGGATGGTGTGGTCACTGTTTAGGTTAATCTCATTGTGGCTAATCTGAAAAGTCTTGAGTTCGAACCCCCTGGCAGATGAGGCTCTATAGCTGAGGTCAGCAACTCTTCTAGGAGAGACAACTGCTGCCTTGTAGGTTTATTCTTGGTTGGACAAACGTTATGGAAGCAAATCCAAAAAGAAAAGCAGGCTGAAATCAGAGTCGGCAATCTATATTGTGCATAACCAGTTGACAAAAAAATACTTAACTGTGTTGGAGGGAATCTCTTCCAACACTAAAAAATTAAGAACAAAGGAGAAGAAAGTTTAGGATTCTCTCCACAACTTGTAGTCTAGTGTTAGTCTTTTGTATCTGATATGTTGGAATTTCTAAGCTTATTTAAATTTCTAAAGTTATTTTTTAAATAGTCAACAAAAAATAATAAATATCCAGTAAAGTAACCCTTTTGTTTATTATTGTACTTTGATCTACAATGTGGATTAAGGAAGTAGAGTAAAATAGAACCAAGCCAAAACAATTAAAATGTTTCTGTTGTGTCTTGTACTAAATCAGCTGTTTTGTCCCTACAGAAAAAATTACCAGAATATGGTCTAGGTGCAGCTTTAATAGAATCAGCTCAAGCTTTAGGTGGCGACACATTGCTGGGGTACATATACTTTTTTTTTTCTTCTGTATGTTCTTTAACCTGAACTTAATATGTTTTTACCCATATGTGGGAAGGCGAGGCCTGCCGGTAGAGCACTAGACTGCTAACCCAAAAATCTCAAGTTCTAATCTGGGTTCACGCCAGAACAGTCCATCCAACTCTGATGGATACCTAACTCACATTAGGGAAAGTAAAGGCATAGTGCTTACAAAACTATCCTTTCATATATTGAGAGGCCACAGAAACAGGTGAACTCTTACTTCACTTGCCATATGGACCATGAAGGGAGCTTTACTTTACCCATCTCAGTAATTTGTTATGATACAGCACCATATCACCTTATTGTTGGTCAGCATTTGTTGTGTTTAATGTTAGCTAATATTTAACTTAAATTAGCTAAAATTTAACTATAAACAATGGACATTTATGAAATAAAATATTTTTACTGTTGTTTGGTATTGAATATTGTGTTTTAAAATTAATTTTTCCAAACCTCCAACTGTAGGTCTGTATGCCAACTGTGTGGGGACTGTCAGCAAAGTTTAGCTAAGGAACAACTTGAATATGAGACCAATATTGAGGCTGAGTTTATTGCCCCATTACAGAATATTTATGATGTACGTATTAGATAACATTTTATTTTAAATATTTTAGATTGGTAATAAGCTTATTTATTCAGATCATTTATTTTTCCTTCAAAATTTGAATCATTCTTTACATAGTTTGGTAATGTTCCTTTCTTAAACACAAGTATATCTATTCAATGCATTACTTGGAAAATTCACCTAGGTTTTCAATCGATTATATATTGAAGTTCTTTTATAAAAATATATTTTAGTATTGCTTATCATTTCTAAATTTTATTAGCCTTTAGAATCTTGTTGATTTATATCTGTGGTTCTAATGTAAAATTTGAAAATCTGACAAGACTAGAACCTAGATATTTTTTTGTTTTGTAAAGCTTACAAACCATAAATATTATTGGACTTCTAGCAATTTGTAAAATATGAGTATAGTACTTGCATATTATAGTAGTTAAAAGGTAAGTAGCGTGACCTAATGAAGTGCAAATAGTGTACTGTAGTCTTTAGTTGTTAGAGAATGGACATGTAAAAGCTAGATAGTGTACCTGTTAGATGGAGACTTATGGGCTGCTGTGCTGCCTTGTGACGTGTACAGCATGTGTATTTCACTCATTCATCCTTACCATTTTCTTATCACACATGTGAACTCATTAAGTCCCCAAGCCGTGGTTTAGTGAGTACTCTCTGTTTAGCTGTGTTAAAAACTTTCATCCACACTTCACATCATGGCTTACATTTTGTTCATTTCTGTATGGTTTTTAAAGCAATTTGTTTTGGTTTTGCTTGTTTGTTTATTGTTGTTACACCCAAAAGAAAAAGTAGTCAAAAGTGAAATATTGCGAGAATATTTTTGATGCCATAAACATAACATGCGTCTCCATAATAAGAATATTACTGCATTTATCATCACTTAATCCAATTCTATCAGGAACTCAGAACTGAAGTAAAACAAATATACTGCTTTACTCATCTAGCTTTTAAATGCCAGGATAATGAGCTAATTTTAATTTGAGTTAACAAAGCTATTTCAACTTTTCTAAAGTAGTCGCAACCTATTAGATCTACTTGAATATTTTGTGCAGTGCATGTTTCTCATGTTTTTTTTTTCCTTTGCATTTTCTGTCAAATATTATGCATTGTTGAAATCATATAAAATATAAGGGAAATTTAAAAGTTGACTTTTGTAATAATTTCCAAAAATGCTTTCAAATACATTGTGTTAGTTGATAAACCTATGATAATTTAAGTACAAGACAAAATATTTTTATCATCTCAATTTTTTCTTCTGATTTTTTTTTGTAATTTATTTGTTTTCATTTCTGAAAAGTTATGTAGCACTATTTTTCCTTCAAATACAAACAATTCAGTAAGTTCTGTGCATTTTTTCATGGGACATAAGCCTGACAAACTAATGTAATTTTATTTAGTTACCTTTTTTGTTAAAAATATTTTTTAGCTAGTTTAGGCCCCCAAATAATAAATAGAAGCATGCTCTGTTGATGTTGTTGTGGTAAGCTTAAAAATCTATGACTGAATCTGAATTTCAGCTTTAAAATGTTAGTTATTATTTAATAAACGAAGTTAAAAAAATATATTTTTTTTTATCCAGTATTACATTGTTTATATAAGAAAATGTTTAGAAAAAAATTAAATTGTCATTGTACAATCATTTTTATTAGACTTATCTGTATACAATATAAAGCAGCTTAAATCTTTGTTGTCCAGTTTTCACCATATCTAACTTTGCATGAGTATCATAACAGTTGTCTCTCTTTGTTTCTCTAACTTTTATCTTGAACACTAGTTTTGATGCCATTTTATTTGTTGTCATTATCAGGTGGAGATCCCAAGCATAATGAAGTTCAGAAAAGCCTTGAACAAATCTACCCTAGACATGGACTCTGCCAAAACCAGGTACTGTGTGGTCAATTTAATCACCAAACAAGACTTTTTTAATGCTGGCAAAATTTTCACAACATATCTGTAGATTTGCGTTTAGCACATTTTTTTAAACATCAGAGTTAAAAAAAAAAATTATTTTTATAACTTGATAATTGCTTAAACTTAAACCTGACAAATTTTTCATAACTTCGGTGTTTCCCAAGCCTAGCAAATTGTACCTACCCATGCTAAACATATCAAATCTCATACCTTGACTGTTGGCTAAATGTATCAAATCTCATACCTTGACTGTTGGCTAAACGTATCAAATCTCATACCTTGACTGTAGGCTAAACATAGCAAATCTCATTCCTTGACTGTAGGCTAAACGTATCAAATCTCATACCTTGACTGTTGGCTAAATGTATCAAATCTCATACCTTATCTGTTGGCTAAATGTATCAAATCTCATACCTTGACTTACGGCTAAACATATCAAATCTCATACCTTAACTGCAGAGGCGTAGTGACCCTTCCCGGCGCCCGTGGACAAACTTTTCGATTTGCACCTCCCCTCGAGATTTCCATTTGCACCCCCCCCCCCCTCAACCTTTCAATTTATTTTTCCAACCCATTTTGGCGCCCTCTAAGGTCGGTGCCCGGGGAAATATGTCCCGTCCCCCCCCCCCACCCCCTCTCGCTACACTACTGCTTGACTGTTGGCTAAACATATCAAATCTCATACCTTGACTGTTGCCTAACTGTATCAAATTAAAATCTCCAGATTAAACCAAGCGATGCGACAGTCCCAAGTCCCTGGTGCTAACATGGCCAGTGCTGGTGCTAAAGTTGACGTCATCAGGGAGGAATACGAGGAGGCGTCTGTCAAAGTAGAAACCATTAAAGTTGGTGCCAGATTTTTTTTACATATTTTTAAATGTCTTGCTACTCACAATGTTAAAAGCTATTGAGGGAATTTTCAACAAGTATAATAGCATTGTAAAAAGATTTTTAAGAATTTTTCTCTTTAAAGCTTGTATACACAGAAACTGCTCTTTGTAAACTATGCTTGTTAGAACTCCTAATCTCTTGTTAGCTTATTTTAAACCCCAGAACTCATGTCAGCTTTGTTTCTCCAGGATAATTTGTCCATAGAGTTGTGTAACTTTGCTGCTAAAGAAAGTGACCAAAGCTACAGGATGTTGCTAGTGAGTGTTGTTTTCATAAAGCTAATTTAACTTTTTTTAAAATTAAGGGATTGTGACAAAAGTATTTCTGCTGAAATAGTGTTATAAACATTTGTTTTGCCACCATACAACTTAAGCCATGTCACCCAGTATCCCCAACAGTATGATATCTCTTAGCTGCCATGCTATATCCAGTCTAGACAGTTATTGTACATTTTGTAAATAAATTTCCTGATGTTTTAAATGTTTACAAAAATGTGTTTATACTTCAATCACAGCTACTTCAAGCTCAAGCTAATTTTCACAGAAAAGCATTGGAGGCCATTGAAGCTTGTATACCTCAGATTAAACAAGAAATACGTAAGAAAATCCTTTTCCGTGTCTTATAGTTATTCTGACAAAAACAGTTTTTTTTTTTTTTTTTTTCAAATATTTTTTAGATTAGAAAATCTTTGAATTTTAAAAATTTCCTCCTATTATATAATTTACCATTATGCTTAAAATGTACCAAATTTTTTTTAAAGATTAGAACTAGTTGTTAGATTTTAAAAATTGTCCTCCTATTAAGACGATTTACAACTATGCTGAAAATGCAATGATTTTCTAAATTTGAATTTTTAGACAGCACTAGTCATTGAAAATTTTTAAATTAAAAAATCTCCTCCAATTAGATAATTCACCAGCCAAGCCTTGCTACGGAATGCCTTTAGAGGAACATCTTCGCCTGATGTGTCGAGACATCGCCTTAGTTCTAGAAGCTTGTATATTAACATTATTAGAGACTGGCATGGAGGAAGAGGTACAACCTGGCTTTATTTGTTCATTTAATAAATTTTGTAGAAAGTGATGACAGATTTTAGCAGAGCTATAATAAGACATTTAAATATAACTTTTTAGCTGTTTCTGTTGAATATTTAGCAATCACTAAATTCTTGACCTTTATAAAAAAAATTTCAGGGATTGTTCAGAATAGCAGGTGCAGCAATCAAGCTTAAAAAATTAAAAGTAAGTGCCTAATTAACGTCAGTAAAATTAAAATGCTCTGTAATAAGAATTATTTGCTTCTGCAACTTTGTTTGGCTCCAGGATATTTTTATGTTCTGTTAATATTTTTAAGTTGATAGCACCCTCTTTCATGAAATATTAGTTTTGGTAGCTCAGGTGTCATATAATTTATGACAGGCTAAATCTTTAATTAAAGTTTTTTTCCTTCTTGTAAAATAAAGTTCATATCATATTTTCAACAGATATTTTGAAATTTAAAAATAAATTTATTTGCAGGCATGTTTTGATGCTAACACAGTCGATATGGAGGAGTTTAGTACAGACCCCCATACAATAGCAGGTAATTTATCTCTCCTGTTCAACTGAAACAATCAATTAGCCATGAAACAATTAATTAGCCATTTATATCTCCTGTTTAACTGAAACAATCAATTAGCCATGAAACAATTAATTAGCCATTTATATCTCCTGTTCAACTGAAACAATCAATTAGCCATGAAACAATTAATTAGCCATTTATCTCTCCTGTTCAACTGAAACAATTAATTAGCCATGAAGCAATTAATTTTCCATTTATCTCTCCTGTTCAACTGAAACAATCAATTAGCCATGAAACAATTAATTAGCCATTTATCTCTCCTGTTCAACTGAAACAATTAATTAGCCATGAAGCAATTAATTTTCCATTTATCTCTCCTGTTCAACTGAAACAATTAATTAGCCATGAAGCAATTAATTTTCCATTTATCTCTCCTGTCCACCAGGTGCACTGAAACAATACCTGCGAGAACTGCCAGAACCTTTACTTACTTTTGCTTTACATGACGATTTTTTAAAGGCAGCATCACTGTAAGTATTTTCTGTTATTTTATGGGTTTTTATACATGTAGCGCTCTCTTTTTAAAGGCAGCATCGCTGTAAGTATTTTCTGTTATTTAATGGGTTTTTATACATGTAGCGCTCCCATTTTGAAGGCATCATCACTGTAAGTATTTGATCAAAGAAGTATCTCACATAATTAGATAGAATTTTTAAAAATATTTTACTTATGTGTTTTTTATTTTCAAATCACTCACTTCGAAAAAAAAAATGCTTTAAAAAATGTATTTCTGCGATTTTTTTTTCAAGGCCACAAGACCAAAGATTACAAACCCTGTGGACTTTAATAAATAAACTACCCAAAGCAAACTATAATAATTTTAGGTAAGATGTTTTTTCATTACGTTTTGTTGATTATTAATCAGTTCTACAAATATTGTTTTAATTGAAATCTCCCCTCCCCACAATTAATGAATGAAAATTTTATTTAAAAAAAAATTAAAATATGTTAACTAATGTCAAATGTCATTTGTTCTAGGTATCTTATAAAATTCTTGTCAAAGCTAGCTGAGAAAAGTGATATCAACAAAATGAAGCCTAGTAACATTGCAATAGTCATAGGACCCAATCTATTGTGGTCTGAGAAAAACAATGCGTAAGTAACAAGATCAGCCATTTACTTTTTCATTTAGTTAACGAACAATAGCGAATGTAAAGATTCTGAATGCCTTTAAATCAGAAAAGTGTTAAGATGAAATAGTTTTTTACTGTTTTCTTTAAACAGTTTTCAGTTTTAAATATTTTTTTTTACTTCTCATATATTTTATGTTTTTCATACTCTGGAATGCATTGTTGCTAAGAACAAAAGATTAGTATTCAGACTCTATGTTATAATTATAGTTATTATATCTAGCAACTATCAACATCCAACATTAACACGCTTGTTTTGGTGCCTGTTCACAGTCCGAACATGTTGACAACAGGCACAGTCAGTGCAATCATTGAGGCCATAGTAACCCATGCTGATTGGTTCTTTGCTGGAGGTCAGAAATCACTGTTATCATTGATTGTACATTCTATAGCTGAAGTACTTTTTTTTCATTCAACTTCTATATTCATTCCAAAAATTTGATTCTTAAAAGCCAAGCTTTACTGCAGTTACAAGTAGATAATTTTTTTTCCCCCCACTTTGGAATTTTTGTGAGTTAAAAGAAAAAAAAGCACTCAGCTAATAGCTCAGACATTTACCTGTATGTATCAGTAATGTTGTACGTGTCAGTAATGTTGTACGTGTATATGTAATGTTTGTATACATTTTGTCAAACACATTCATCAGTGTAGTGACTTTGTGCCATCTTGCTCCTGTTGTTATGTACAATTGTCATCTTTGATATGTTTTACAACTTTGTTACAAGATCAGCATTGTAACAAGTTATCTCAACTTAAAAAAAAACCACATTTTTCTCCAAGTTTCCTCCAAATATTATCCTCCAAAACATTCCCTATGTTTTTGCTTCCAACCTACCTTTTTTAAATCCCAAACTTCTCTTACTCCCAAAATTATTTTTTCTCTTCACATTTTTTTATGGGAAACACCACCTAGAATCTGATGAGGGCAAAGTTTTTTGTTAATTAATTGTGTAAGCTCCAAGTATAATTAGGACAAAAGAACCATCTGTCCTGTCCAACGTCATAAAATTTCAGCTCTTCTAAAATTGGTCACAAAATTTCAACTCTGTCTGTGCCATCTCCGATCTGTTCCACATATCCACGGAATCAGCAGAGATAAATTTGATATGGCTTAAAATTCACATCCACAATAATCAAAGCTAGACCTCAGGGTTAAAGAGTTGCTAGTGCGCCCATCACAGCTCCTGACTGTACGCTCAAAGTTTTGGCTGCCTTTGGCTGTCTGGTCCTACACTGCTTTTACACTTGCGACATGTATACTATAGGTGTCTAGAAAAAAAAACTTTAATAAATGAATAGAGCCCCCCTATAAAATTTATACTATGAAGTTTTTTCTCTAGACGTTGTATGCACATCGCAAGTGTAAACATAGTGTTATGCAGCTGCTTCTCTTGCTAGTTTTCTTTACTGCATGAACTGATTATAAATGTTATCATTCATTTACAAAATAGACAATCTCTCAATACTGTATTCATTTACACCATACACTATTTGTTTCTACATACCATAATTGTTTACATCTAAATGCAACATTAGATTATAAAATTATGCATACATCATTTCATGACCATTTCTGTTACATTTTTAATATACTGATAGCTTTTTAGTAGAAAATGCTAATTTATAGTAGTCACATTTTTTATTTTACAAACCAACATATTTTTATATAGTTAGAAAAAAATAGCATAATTTCTTCTCTTATCTATCTAATGCTATAACATTTTATATTAATGCTGTCAATAACTTCCTAGGTTTATACAGTTAACTTGCTCTCTAGGCCACTACTAAACAACCAATGCTTAATTTACCTCGTTACACTTTACAAAGCTTCTCACAGTATTTAACTTACACCTTTTCTGTTTTAATGCTACCTATCTAAGCAAGCCATATTATTTTTTTTCTCTCCTTTTATCCCATTTTGTACGCAGCTTTTGACTTTCACACCACTGGTCACGGGAGCTCCCCCAAACCGTGTAGGGAGCCGGGCTTTGCACATAACATCAAAACACATAATGTAAATAGTAAAGTTGTTAAAGAAAAAGGGGACGCTGGTGAGGATTCTCCGAAGAAGATTGAACCAGACAAGGGAGGTAACAAGGAAGAGAGTACAACTCAGGCAAAAATAGTTACAGTACAGCAGAGTGAGTTCCCCTTGCAGAAGTCTAAAGCAGGGGAGGTGAAGATGAGTGGTGAAGAAGAAGAGAGCAGTTCGGATGAGACGAATCCTTTCTCGGAGAAGTACGAGTCAAAGTCATCTCTGGACCTGGAATGTAGAGTGGAGAAGGAGAAAGGTGACCCCGGTGAAAGCTTGATGTCCGGTGGTAGACGTAATGGTCACTGTGTAGAGAGTAGTAGTACTAACACTGGGGACTATGACAACATCATGTACACTGTCAACCCCTTGAACCCCATGTACAGGAGTAGCACCTTGAGTAGAACCCACCCCGTGGCGGGCAGCGACACCAGGAGGGGCAGTGCCGATAATATTCTAAACCTAGGTAAACGAACCTCCCCTCCCCTGCCCCCCTCCAGGCCGTCCCGGCTGTCCAAAAAAATGTCCCCGGTCCAGTCTGACCACTTGCCTGGTTACTCTTGCTTGTCTAGATCAGAATCTCAGTCCTCCTGCTCTGATACTAACCAGTCTGTCTGTAGCTTAAATCCTACAATGCACACACCCCACCAGTCCAAATCCCGGTTTGTGGTGGGCTCAACTCCCAATATAACTAGTCTGCCTGGTAGTAGAATGGATGAAGAGACTTACTCTGGGTTTCAGGGTCCTCTATGGAACAGACCGTCCCAGAAAGTTAATTTTAACACGTTAAAAAGGGGGTCTGATCCTTGTATAACCAGCCCTCCTCCCCAGTTTGTAGTTAGTAGCAGTCAGAGACCCTTGAAGATATCAAGGTCCCAGTTAGGTACGCCACCCAAGCCAGGCGAGGCGCCGCGCTGTAACTTGCACTCACAAGAGGAGGTTTCTCGATCGCACCAGGCCGGTGGGTCCCATGCGGGTCAAGGTCACAGCCACGTGGATAAGAGCTTTCACCAGGACACATACAGCACTGCGTTTGCGCTCACCTCGCTGGGGGCGGGGACCAAGTCGACAGATTACCTGACCAGGGTCAGGGCCATGTGGGACGATCGCCACCAGCAACAGACCCCCAAAGCCGACTCTCCTCCTCCCCCAAAAACAACCTGTGCAATAGCCAGCAGTGATAAACTTGGCAAGCCTGACAAGGTTTTTGGATGTTTACCCAACACCTGCCTGCTCACCACATCAGCTGAGTCGGCACCTCCCAGCTGTGAGGCCTCTAAAGTTCAAATACAGCCTTACGCCTGCGCCGACCAATCAGGTTAGGTCTCATGACTTTTGGATGTGGATGCCTGTCTTGGTTCTCTGCTCGGAATGCTGGCTCCAACGGCTCGCTTGTTTCCATCACCTTAACATTTTAACCAAATTTATTTTTATTCAAACCATAGATAGACAAAAGTCTCATAATAATTTATTCCAACCTTACAATATTTAGTTTGATAATCATGGTATGGTTTTATTTAATGTATAAAGAGTTAAGGATTACAGTCTTGTAAAGAAAAAACTAGACTGTAAATTTGTTTAAACTAACATTTTAATGTTTCTAGTAGGTCTATATGTTGTTTAGAATTGTTTAACATATTAATGGGGAGTTTAACCACTGTTAACCTTTAGTCATTGTGGAGTAATTTGATGTTAAATAGATTAACTAGTTGTTTTTTTTTTCTCTTCTGTGTTAAATGTTAAATTGATGGGCATTAATTAGCTTTGATAAAGCTATTGCAATGGCGCTCTTGGAATGTCTTGTTGTTATAAATTCTGTGTGTCGTAGCAGCATGATTTAGAGTGGAGAATGCTAAACCTATTTTGAATGCTTTAGTTAGATTGCCTCAATAGAAAAAAATAATGCTAGATGGCTAATAAAGCTATTTTTTTATTTGCAAGATTTCTATAATTCTATACCTAAATGCTCTTTTCTCCAAGCTTTATATTTTCTATAGGGGATACAGTCAGCACTTTATTTCATGTCAATTGGTACTTGTTTAAAAATTCAAGTCAGAAATAAATTTATTTTTTTAATGCACCTTTGAAAAACCATCTTTTCTCTAAACCAAATAAGGGATACAACCCAGCCTTTTGCTCACTAACCATCATAGCTTTCCTTTCTCTATTCTGCTTTTGTAGTTGGCTTTTAGAACCTGCCATGCTGCAAATGTTTAAGCATGCTTAGGCCTGCCGTTTGTTAGTGGATGAACCAGCTTATGTAGGTACAGTCACACAAAGATCTTTTGTCTTGCTGATTCCTAGACAAATATTTTTTTAGCAGTTTTATTAGAAAGCACTTTTAAACAGTTGTAAATAAAACCAATGTCAAAATAAATTTTTAGTGTTGTTTCTCATAATTTTTATTTATTTTTAAAACATTAAATTTTGAGAAAATTTTAGTTTGAAATTGTGATATCTCTATCACATTTGTGTTAATGTTTTTTATTCATTATTTGAAAGTTCAAGTAACCACTTTCTCCGCCTCTTATTACTTTTAGGTAACAATTTCTTTTGGTTTGAATTTTACAAATTTTCATTCAGCTTTTACATTTGTTGAATTTTAAGTGTATTTTGAGCACTTTTGTAAATGTTATTTTTACCAATAGTCGTCTAATTCAACATATGTCTGAAAAAAAAACCCTAATTTAAATACGTATATTAAAGCTAGTTAACTACTATATTATTTTTAATTATTTTCTTCTCCTAAATAAAAGAAATAATTGGGATAATGTTTAATGTTACGCTATAATTCACAGAGTTGAACTTCATATACTAAATAAAAATTCATCTATTAGATAACATGAATATAAAAAAACAATATTTTTAATTTCACCCAGATTTCGACTTCAACATTATCGACTATCGTGAAGAAGGTCAGGAAGTTCAGACAGAGAAACAGAACAACAATATGGAGGCGCTAAAGATTCAGGTGGTTATTTTTAGACTTGTTGGTACCAGTTCCAGAGAAAAATTTGCTAGAGAAAATTTTTCTAAAGAACGATTTCTTCGATAAATTTTTTAATTGTTGGTTAAGATTTCCAGCTTACTTTACATAAATTTTGAATTTTTTTTTTTTTTTTTTTTTTTTGTTAAATTGATTATTCTTTCAAGCTTAAAACACAGTAAGCTTTGTTTTTAGCATTTGCTGTTGCCACACTATTTGTGGGTCAAGAATGTTTACAAACTGGTTTTGCTTGAATTAGGTCTCCTGTACACCTGTTGTTAACCAGCCACCTAGTCCTGGTTTATCTACAGCCACTTCAAACACCTCGTCTACAGGTAGTTTACCTGTGCCTCACGACAGGTGAGTCACTGCTGGAGTTGTAAACTTTTTGAACATTTTTGTCTAATAAGCTAAAAGGAATGGTGTGGTTGAATGGTAGAGCCTTCGACTGCTAACCCGAGAGTTTGGATCTCAAACTCTAATCCATATGACATCCCTGAGTCCACCCAGCTCTAATGTGTACCTGACTTGGATTAGGGAAAGTAAAGGAGGCAGGGTATATTGCTGACCACACTATCCTTAAATAATCTGTTTTACTATTCTACACCTGCCTTGTAAGTTTTGAACTGTACTTTGTTGTGTAACATCATATCTTTCAAAGAAACGCAAAAGTAAAAAAAGAGAGTATAAACATTATGGTCCTTAAGGATAGAGGTAGCAGCATAGTTCTCTTCCTGTTGCTACAGTATACAATGGGACTGTGTAGCCAATTAAACTCCACATTTACTTCACACTTCCCCCACCCTATGTGCCCATCAGGACTGGTCATGTAGACCGGTGACCTCGAGTAAACTTAAGACACTTATTCACACATATTTTAAAGATTTAAGATAATTTAAATTGCTTTATATGTTTGATCTTAAATAGAGAGAAAAAAATTATTTTTTTTACACTATTTCAGCCCAGAACCCCTGAGCCCTGTACAGCGCCGCGGGACCCGCAAACCTGCCCCACCCCCTCCCCCAGAGAGACCATTCACTGTCATGGTGACGGCCACAACAGCCCTGGGAACCAACCGGCCAGAGGCCACCCACCCAGCGGAGAGTGACGGCTCAGTTAACAATGGTCAGTTTCAAACTTGGCCTCGCTCAGCCCCTCTTGCCTCTCCAGATTCGCCCTCCGAGCAGCAGCAGGAGAAATCTAAACTCCCCAGCGGTCATTTAGACCGGCCGTCTATGCCGCCTCCCGATCGGCCACAGCGGCCACGAATGCCCCCGACGCTAAATACGTCTGTGGGCCGGGGCCACCAGAGGTCTGCATCCACAGGGACAATGATAAACCAGACAACAGTGACCTATGACCCACATGCGGGCGTGCCCAACGCAGGTAGTTTGTCTTCTTACAGCATTATTGAGGGTGACCAGGATAACGCTACAGTAAACCAAGGTGTTGGGTCTGATACTGTTAACTCCACCGCACACTCTCAAGGCTCAGTTGCCGCAGGCCTCTCGCACACGCTGGGCAGGCACTCCAGCGTGCGGCCCAGGCTGACGCCCCCTCCACCCCCGCCGCCAGTAGCCAGAGAGTCAGAAGATACTAAATTATGATAATATCCACCCCCCTTCACCCCCCTTCCTTCTGCCAGCTGTGTTGTCACTCTATATTTAACTTTTATCCTACACTACAGAAAGTTTTCTTCACTGTGGAGTTGTGAATCAGAGCATCTTTATCTGACTCAGATTTTTATACAATGTCTTGGAGGGTTATTTTTGGTCCAAAATTTTTCCTTGTTAAAAAAAATGTTCAATAATTTCTTCTATGCTTTTTATTTTTCTGTTCTCCAAAAGACTTTATTTCTCCAGTGCTCCTCTTAGGGTTTTAGTACTTGACACTTTTTGTAATTGCTATGTACACAATGCACCATGTTGGTGTGAAGTTAAAAACTCGGATTATTTATTAGATAACAAAACAAAACTCCTGTGGCAACTGCTTGAGTGTTGCGTTGAGGACACATAACTTACTCACTGCATGCATGTACGACTCCTCATTCATCTTATTAGCTATTACAACTGTAAACATTATATACGTAGACAAACATCGCTTCTTTTAATTCTGTCTATCTAGAGCCATTTAACAAAGCATGATTTTTTCGCCCTCACTAAAAAGGTCTTCATTATTTATATTTGAAAAATTTGAAGTTGTTTCTTTTATTTTTCTTTGCTAGATTTATTAACCTTTATATAAAAATTTCTAACTTGCCTTCTTTGTGAACAATTTGTGATAAAATGTAAAAAATATTATTTGACTATTTTTTTTTCTCTGAATAACTATCCTGCCAATTTTACGAAGATTTTTCTCTAGTTTTTGTTTGTATTGATATATATATAACTTTGTATTTCTGTCTGTAGATAAAAAGTTTTAGTAAGTACTCTTTGTTTACATCAACAACCAATTTGCTTCATTGATTTCAGATAGCGCTGAAGTTTTTTTTCTTTATAAAACAACCTAGTTGCTTGAGACGTATAAAACATTAGCTCTCTGTTTCAGGATGTATCATTCTGCTTTTTGTCTTTCAATTTTTTTTTTTGTGTGTGTGTTACAAAAGTTGGAAAAATAGATAAACTTCTAGGTGTGACTTAGCCTTTTTTTAAACAAGTTAACATTTTTTTTAAACCTGTAAATACTAACTTGCTTATAGGAAAATAATAAATTGTTTAATAAAAAACACTCTTAAAATCTATGAAGTGCTAATTGAACATCAGCATTATTAAGTACATTTTTTGTGAGTGGTGATTTTAATTTTTTTTTAATGTATAAATCTGCAAATGAAACAAAAATTTGTGAACATAAAAAAAATGGGTTGGTTTTCTAACTATTTGAATAACAAATTTCATATTCATAAAGGACAAACTAAATTTTAAGTGCACCTCATAGTAGAGAAAGATTTAAAAAAATTTTAATTGGAATTTAAACTGTATATTTATCTTGATTAGCACCCATGGACCGTGTCTTTGAAAATAACAATTTTTAACTTTTTGCACTTTTCACACAATTTTTTATTCAATATAACAACACATGGTGATGAAACCATTCCAATTAATTCTGATCTTTTTTTTTGTTCCAACACTGTTTTTTTCCCCTAATATTCAGTATCTGCTTTTTTATAAGACAGCATTACTTTAAGTTATAAAATTATTATAATTTATTAACTGCTGTACTGTTTTTCAAATTTGTATGCACACTTAAAACACAAGTTATGAATAATTTCAACAAATAAAAAATTGAGTGGCTTGCAGAACTGTTTAGAAAAGTTCAGTTGAACATTTTTTTTAAAACTACAGTAAAATGAAAGTCAACTATAATTAAAATAGAAATTTAATAGAATCCAGTTTTGAATTGTATCAATTGGTAACAAAAAGTGCATGAGAATAAGAAATGTAAACAAGGATAAAGTAAGTGCATGGGTATGTAGAACTGGACAAAAGGATTAAGAAAAAAAAGTGCATGGGAATATAAAAACAAACAACACTGGACATAGAGATTAAGAAACTGCATGGGTATAGGAAATTAGACATCAGAATTACAATTTTAAAATGCATGGGTATAGAGAACTTGACATTAGGAAGTACAAATTATTAAAGAATTGGACATGAATCTGATGATTGTTCTACATCAAAATAAAAGAGACTGGGTGATTTTTTGAGACGTTAAGTATCTAAAAGATGAATGTGTTAAGTCTTTTAAATTTTGATCTAAATTAGTTTGCAGTTTTTAAAATTCATGAAAACAGAAGGAAACATGTATAAATGTCAGATAAAACTTAGATTTATCACTTAACATTCTAATACCACATAATGCTGTGTTTATTTTTTCTTTACTAACATCTGATAGAGCTGTGTTGTACTCCATACTGACAGTCTCAAACATGGCTATACATTACTACTTGTGGGGCAGATTTCACCCTATAATTTGGTTTATACTGTTTTGTCCCTTTATAAAAAGGTGATGCATTTTTTTTAAAGTTAACACTGTATTTTTTTTTACACTAGTCTAAAGCAAAGTGTTAAATGGAAAGATCAGTTAATTTTTATTGTTGCCCCAAAATAATATTTGGGATTTTGCTTACATTTTTTTGGTTTGTTTAAAGAGTAGTCTGTTGCCAATGAAGATAATTTTAATTACAACAATGGAGAAAAAATTTAGATAATTTTGTTCATAACACTTTGTAATCAAGGTATATGCTTTAACGATATTTATTTTGTTCAGATATGCAACAATACGGCATACTCATTTTCTTTTTTTTTTATCAATTAATGGATGTCTTGATAATATCTCTCTTATGTACAGCTATTATTTTCTGTCAACTAATATCTGAACAAAAGCTTTCAGTTTTGTCAAGTAAACAGAATTGTTCAAACCTGTTCACAAACTGCATTTAGCCATGTCTTTGTTTACAGTTAAAGATGATGTGATACCTATGTTAACTGATGGAATATAAGAGATGAGATATCAAGCCTTGAGTGATTCACCCACTGCCCCATTCCATTATCTAGCTGAAGGCTGTGTTTTTGCATGTTTGTGTTTTATCTGTATTTTGATATTGTTGGCATGTATATGCTTGTTTGTCAGCTTGAATATTTTGTAGTAACATTCATGCTTTTTTCCCCAGCAACATTTTGACTTACTGAAATCTTTTGTGTCGTTAGATGCTTAAACCACATTAGCAGCATGGGGTTTTGTGTGAAATAAAATGTAAATTTTACACCTTACTTGGTTATGATAATAATGTTCAACCCGATAAACTAAGAATAGAGTAAGTTATAAAATTGAAGAAACAAACTAACTTGACTTGTCTTCCAAAATCACATTATTGTGTATAGTTTTTATTTATTTTTAGAGTAGTTAAATTTACATTTTTTTTAACCCAATCAGTCAATTAAACCAATTCAGCACCAAAAATATACATATTTATTATTCATTGTTCTAGTCGTTTAATGTATCATGAATTATTATATCACAACACACATAGTTAATCAATTAACCAATTTTGTTTACTGATCTATTTTTCTTATTACTTAATCAGCATGTTTTGTTAGCATAATTAAAAGTGCTTATGGTATTCATGCCTAAGCTTTTCTTGTGATATTTTTTTTAAAACTTTTCTTTGTTTACTTCGAATGAGTATAATTCTACCTAACATTATCTGCTCCTCTTTTTTATTTCTTAGAAATAGATTTGGACAGTCTCCAGGCCACAGCGTTGTGACCTACCATTGGGTCACGGGGAATAACTGTTGCTGTCTGTGGCGGAGAACTGATGCCTTACTGGCTCAGAATGAAATTTCTGTAGCTAGTGAGATAGCAACTGCTAGTACCAAGCCTTTTCATGCAACCATCTGTGTTAAATCTGTTGTAAATAATATGCATGCTTTACTTTGTTTACAAATAATTCTTATTTGCTAATCCTTTTGAAGTATTGAGTTGTAATAATAGAGCTCTTTTTGTGAAATTTTATTTTCTGGTTTACCGTTTTAATTAAAAGTGATGCATTATAAATGGAGGCCTACTGCAGCATTTTTCTTCAAACTTCAGAGTGCACAAACCCTTAATATGAAGCCACTAGCCATTTCACCTGTACTATTGTATTTTCTTATTTTCCTGCTGCTGCTTGTATAAAAGTGAAGGCTAGTAGGGCTAATGAACACACACTGACCAGAGATTACTGATCATGTTTGTTTTTCTAGTCAGGTCTGGTTATACATGGTGGTGCCTATGAGCCAACTGCTATCTGAAATTTCTCCTGAAAAGTTGTGATTGATTATTTCCCCACACATTTTAATGCATTTAATTTTTTTTAACAAGTTAGAAAAGTAGTAAAACCGTATAGGAATGTGTGGTTTTGTATGGATATATAATTACAACTTGTGTCAATATGAAACGCTGTGCACATTTAAATAGAATTTATTTATACTTCTTATATTTTTAGCAATTTGTCATTTTCTTTAAACAAATGTAAAAAATGACTGCATGCTAAGATTCTTATAAATACATGTACAAGTATTTACAGATTCTTTTGTCATGATGTTCAAGTGGTCACTTAAGATTTATCTGAAATTGTTCACTTCACACTTGTGTAATATAATACTAAAAAACTATTTTATGTTTTAAGTAGAATAAAAAGCAATAAAATTATATTTGACTGGTAAAGATTTGCCGTTTGGTTTTTTATTCATTGGTAAAAAAGCAACAAACAAAAAAATTAGAATTCAAGTTTATTGATGTTTACAATTCTATCGTTAATATCATGTACACATCAGCTTCAAATCCGTGAACCCAATAGAAACCTTCCACACTTTGTAACAGTCACACAATGTTTTTAACTACTCAAAACAAAACCTGAATGAATTGCTAACCAAAAAAAGTTCTTCCAACTACAATAGCAGTCTGAGGAGAAGTATATACACTGGCAGTCTCAAACTACAGGTCACATAATGTTAACTGCGCTAGGTTCCCGTAGAGTTTACTGTAAGCCTCAATACCTTATTGTCCAGAAATTTTGCAAGACATCAATTTGGCCTAGAATAATTCTGAAAAAGAAATTGTACAACATAGAATGTGATAATTAAATGTAAATATGACTTAACAACATTCAACAGCTATTAAAGTTTTCAATTTAAATAAAAGCTCTTACCAAAAAATTCAAACTGCAATTCATTCTTTAATGAAAAATGTCCTCCTTATCTGCAATATATTGAACTATATCTCGGGGCCTCATCAATCTTTCAGAGTCTGCATCTGGAATCTCAAAACCTGAACAACAAAAATACAATCAACATTTATTTCAGCTCACACTGGTCACTGTTGTTAATTAACCTAACTAAAAAAAAACTCATTCTAGTTAACAGATAAACTAACTGCACTACTAGGAGACAGGCAGGAGAGGCTCAGCTGGGGACATTAACCCATCCAGGAGATTGTTTTTTGGTTGAAGTACAGTTTACTAAAGCTATGGAAGCACATGCAAAAAGAAAAGCAGGCTGAAAATAATCTAAAGCGAATGGGACATAAGTGCTAACACATAATCATGTTAGATGAAATCACCTCCAATGATACAATTAAGAATGAAGATGCCAACACCAATTAAAATCCTATAGTAACCTTGAGTATGTGTTATCAATTTAATAAAAATTAAATGTATGAGATTTTAAAAAATGTAATTACCAAACTCATCTTCAATGGCCATAATAATTTCTACTTGGTCAAGACTGTCCAAACCAAGGTCATTCATAAAGTGGGAGTCCAGGGTCAACTGAAACAATATTGTAGTGGTCAGTCACAAGAAATCAAATATTTTTACATGTTCAACTGAAACAATATTGTAGTGGTCAGTCACAAGAAATCAAATATTTTTACATGTTCAACTGAAACAATATTGTAGTGGTCAGTCACAAGAAATCAAATATCTTTACATAGTCAACTGAAACAATATTGTAGTGATCCATCACAAGAAATCAAATATCTTTACATGGTCAACTGAAGCAATATTGTAGTGGTCAGTCACAAGAAATAAAAAATCTTTACATGGTCAACTGAAACAATATTGTAGTGGTCAGTCACAAGAAATCAAATATCTTTACAACATTAAACACAATGATGCAAAATGTTGGAAAATAATGATACACCTTGTAAACCACAACAATCAGATGCTGTCCAACAAGTTGTGTGCCCTTTTTTCTACCATACATCATCTGTGTGTTTATTTTCTTTACACAAGTCTATCTTTTATAAAGTGCTAAACATCTTAATTAAACTAAAATACATTTTTTTTTGGGGGGATAAAGTCAAATGTTTAGTGGAAAAAGCAATTTTTACAATGAATAACAAAATTAGCATTGTAGCATTTCCACTTCAAACAAACCAAAAATAAAATGAACTGATTTAACATTTGTAATTCTGAAGTTTGCTGGCTAGTACCTTTTCAGGATTAATTTTGTCATACAATTTCAAACACAGATCAACACGCTTCTGTATTGTCTCTAGAGTGAGTGGTGCTTTACCTGCATACCCTCTTCTAGGCTGACTCAACTGCTGCAAAGAAACAGTACGTTAAGGATAAGAAGAAAGAAAAAAAAACAAGCAAGGGCATTTCTGACAACCGTAATATGCCACAAATATGGGGGGATAATCAGTATCATATTTGATAGTTCATACGATGGTTGTTAATGCCCTTTCTTGTTTGTTGTAATCAACAAACAAGTACCTTTTCAGCATTGATTTTATCATAAGCTTTGCAAATATTCAAAACTCTGCCTTCAATAGCAGCAACTGTTAAAGTAGTAGCACTACTAAATGGCTGCACTTTTTCAGTTAGATTAGGCTGTTGATTGGTAGAGAAAAAAGACATTGGTTTATCCTCTAATTGCAATGGATAATGTTAATTTACAAAATGTTAACCCCTGTATGAACAAAACACGTGCATTTTCAAATTGTACAAGACTTCTTTAAACCCCTTACAGTCCTATGTGCCAGCTGTCCCCAGATAATTTCCTTTTGTGGTACAGTTTGATGCATCAATATTTGCCCCCAAACTATGTCTAATAAACTTATTTAAGCATAGTAACTGAAGTCTTGCTGGTGGTGAGAATTTGAAGATACTGGGCGGAAAAGGAAAATAATTTGTTTTAGTTTTGTTGTTTTCATGTTGTTCAATTACTAGCAATTAAGACACGAGACATAAAATGTTAATCAACTTAGATCATTTACCAGTAAATAATAAAGCAAGAGGGAAACAAAACGAAAAATTTATAATATATATTAGCAAAAGTTTTTTTTAAATTCTAATGCTAAATTATGAAACAGGGGTGGTTCTTTTACTAAGTGACTATGCTGATCACAGAGAGTTCCGAGTATTTTTTGAATTCCGTAGGATGCATTCTAAAATTTTGGGATTTGCCATCTTTTGATTAAAAAAGCTTAATATTTAGTTTGCTAGCATATCTGATGTGGTAGAGTCAACAGTATGGTAGTTAAGTTCATAGCCCAGCACCTCCAAGTTTGAACCACAGGGTTAACGCGACCAGTATAGAGTGCCTTTTGACAATTTTTCATATTGAAAATGTCGAATGACAGTTTTTTTTTAATTTGATAAAATTTCCAAACTTTGTCACTCGCTTGATTGCTTGCTTGTTTTCCAGCTGGTGAAAAATCCAACCATGTATAGTCATATGTCATAGAATGAATTCCAATTCTGGGAGAATATTTATACCAGTGTCCGATAATGGAATCTTCTTCAAAAAAAGGGTGTTAGGTTACAGGTAGTTAACTAAATACAACCGTCGCTGGCTATAATGTCAATGCTAACCCTGTCCCTAACCCTGGTCATACCATATGCCTACCCCTAATTTCTAACCATAAAATTAGTCGAGATTACAATACTACTAACAAACCAACACCCCTTTTTTTAAGAAGATTCCATTGTTGAACACCAGTATCTTAATCATCCCAAATTCTATTTGAGATCGTCTGTGTCTTCACTTCTCCCCCCCCCCTCCCCCACCCACCCCTTTCAAGCAAATTGAAAACAGACATACTCATAGTCATTTTTTCTAAGTTCACATAGGCTTATAGACTTAGATCTAGTTCTACTACCCAGCATGCTAGATAGCAGTAAAAACAATTTACCAATATAATACTTATTGCTCCCTCTGACTCACTCATATGATCTTTAAATAAAATACTCAAAAAATCCATTTTTAGGCTACTAGATTTCACATCACGTTCACCTCCGGTTGAGCGTATTTTATTATAAACACAACCGAAACACGCAAAAACGTTAGGAAAACACTAGGATTAGAGCTAGATGTCTAGATCTATTAGGGGCCTACTATTTATTTTTTATATGAATGTGAATTTTAATTAGAAAAGGTAAAAAAAAAAACATAAAAAACCATTAGGACAGTTCCAATTAAATAGCGTGTGATCGTCAGCGGGAGACAAATCCCTATAATACGGTCGAGGGTTCACCGTAGGTTCACATTGACTTTCATTACCAGCATACGTCATAGCTTGGATAATAGCTATTTGAAATGGTGTTGGCCTCAGTTTTGGGGTCATCGTGAGTTCATAAAAGTTTATTTATAGGCCTAGTAAAATTTTTTACAGCATTCAATATTCTAAATTTGGATTTTTCTCAAGTTTTGACTAAAGTAAATTATCAAAACTAAATCAAAACTTCATAAAGAAATAAGCCCAATGCTTTCCTAATGTTTTTGTGTGTTTCGGTTGTGTTTATAATAAAATACGCTCACCTGGAGGTGAACGTGAAGCGGGGAATAAAATACGCTAAAATGGAGTTATAGAGTCTACCAGACACCAGTGACAAGACTCTAGCTAGGCCAATGCCGCTGCCGAGAAAATCGGACAAATCGGCTTTTCCCTACCCCCTGCATGTTTAACTCTGTTTTTTGCATGCTTTTATTGTGTTTATTTTAACATGTTATGCATCATTCTGTTCGTAATTGAATAACCTTTTTAACTGTATTAGTTTGATTTCTGTATTATTTCAGACGTTGAAGAAATCGCCGATGAAATCGCATTTTTTACCCTCCGCGGCGACGTGCCGATAAGGAGGGAGGCTTTTTCACCTTTTTAAAAGGGGGGTGTTACTTGGAGTCTATAGACTCTGTGAGTTTTCGTACTACAACTGTAAAAATTGGTAGAAGAATAGATTAAATGTACACGTATAACGCTCAGGGTTCTTGGTTAAAATATGTTAAATACTTTCGGAGGTATCGGACCGCAAAGTTAAACTAAGTTATTTGAGCTATTTATGGACCGATTTTTTATTTGAACCCTGAGCTGTATTCCTGAAATCTCGACGTTTATTAATATGTATCATATGTCCTATAAGGCCCTATAATAAGGACGTCTATAGACTTTGAAATGGACCGAAAATATAAACACGACGCGCCGACCGCTGTTCGACTGAACCGCCCTGCTGTGCTTCGAATCGCCGTCTTTAACCTGATGACGCGTTACAAAATTTGTATACACGTATCGAGTTTACGTACTACAACAGTTAAATTTGGCAGACGAATACATTAAATGTAGACGTATAACGCTCAGGGTTCGTGGTCAAAATAAGTTAAATACTTTTGGAGATATCGGACCGCAAAGTTGAACCAAGTTTCCCGGTCTATTATTGGACATATTTTACATTTGAACCCTGAGCTGTATTCCCGAAATCTCGACGTTTATTTAAATGTATAACTTGTATTATAGCGCCTCGTAATAAAGCCGTCCATACATTTTAAAACCGAACGAAAATAAAAATTAACGCGTCGGCCGCCGTCCGACTGAATCGCTCTGCTGTGGTGATCTACACATCGTGTGGCACAGTCGAGTGTGTGGTCACGTGACGCTAGGCGCTTGATCCGATTGGATGATGCTATAAACAATGTCTAAAGATAGATACATGTGTTCCCGTGTTTGACTCGACGGCTATTGCTACTTTATATTTATAAGCACACAGACATGTTGCATAACTTTGTCTTAACCCATTGAAACGTCAAACAAAGTTTTGTTAGTATTTACGGCTGAGGACTAATCGTCAAAATTAATCTTCTTTAGAAATTAATCCGAATAGCTTCGGCCCGATCAAACAATGCTGTGATGTGATTCGTGTAACGTTTCATAATTGTGTACATTACATTTTCGTAAAATTGGCTTTAAAAAATAAATTAAATTATATCCGTGGCTCTTTTCTACAAATTTTAATACCACTAACAACATGGGGGTTTCTAGCTTGCCAAATCGACCAAAATGGGGTGGGGTGGATGGGGGTAGCCACTGACCATCCCACACCGTATGTAACACCCATAGCCTCACCCCGCCCCCACTAGTCCGTGACTCGACAAGCCGACGAGCATCGCTTTTGATGTTGTATAACATCCGTACGGTACACGGTGGTTTCATACCCCACCACCCTCCCCCTTCACTTTGTGGAGTTGATGTTACTAACCCTCGGGCATAGATCAGGAAATCTTGCCAGACTTTTGTCTCTGAAATTACATAATATTCGTCTGACACGTTCATCGGGTTGGCCGACTAGCCTATCCAGCGGTCGTGTTTACGTAATAGGGCAATAAAATTCGTTGGTCAGAAGACCTGGTTACCCACATGTCTGATTGAACTAAATCTAGGCAATAGCTGGTGGTGGTACATGTGTCTGTGTATAGCCAAACAGGGTAATCTTACACAATTTCTAGAATCTACTAGATCTACACAGTCAAGCACTCACTCAAACACGTGCTTTTTTCTTAAGAAAGTTGTTAATTGTAAAAGGCCTACTGGTAGGCTTACAAAATACATAAAACTACTTACTACTAGCCTAATCATTGAGCATAAATATAAATTTATGTTATATATCTATAACTTACACTATAGCTTTAATATGGGTAATAATATTACGTAATTACCATAAAGCACACTCTGATTCTGATCAGACACATTTGTAACTAGGCTAATTCTTTAGCAAAAAGGATTAAGATATTTAAAATAACAAGAAATATAAAATTATAATGAGATAGGCCTATATTTTTGGAATAGAGTAGGCCTATGGTATTGCACATAGATTACATAACATCTTTTAAGAAGTTACATAATCACAAATTTACTATAGCATTCTTCTCTTTGTATTGAAAAACTTGATTAGTTATATTTTCTTCTAGTAGGCTATTAACTTGAAGTTAACTGACAATGAGCAAAAGTGATTTTAAAACAAATTCATGGTATATTTTGAGCAAAGGGTGGGATTACATAACCTTAACATTTGATAGTTATGTAACAATGTTGGACCATTTTAAATCTACCATTATCTTGAGCTTATACAAATGTCATATTTTAGATTAAAACAGCGTTACATTTAAAAGAATGACTTCTTATCACATTGATTATTAGATGTTTAAAAAAAAATTGACAGGGGGATATTACATAATAGTATTTCTCGCTAACCCGGAGGCGTGGCCGGTTGCTAACAACAATATGGCGCCCGGACCGGACGCTTGACTTCCGACGATTTTTCGGCCAAATTCCAGAGACCTTCTACTAATTAGTTTTTAAAATGTTTACCACGCGCAAAATGGCGGGACTTTCACGTTATAACAACAAGCTATAGGTGGCAGGGCTATATATGCCAGAAAAGCATTTTAAAATTTGCGTTGGAGAATGAAGGCTAAATTTAAAAGTTGGTTTCATCAAAAATACTAGAACTTTTTAAATATAGATTTCCCTATTACAAAATTGATTTCCCTTCTAAAGCATTATTAGTTTTATCAGTCTATGAAAAAATAAATCAAATATAGTCAACCCTTTTTTTTATAAGAGTGGCCAAAAAATGACAACCAAATTTTTTTTATTTTTTTGACCACGTGACCGCTATTTGATGATCACTAGTGGGGAACTCTGGGTACATGGCCACTTAAAAAGTCTAACCGCATTTGTGGTTCTCTTTAGCTTCAAGTGCCTTCAGGGGTAAGAAGAGTTGTCATGGAGAGATGTGTTGTCCATGGCAGTGAGTGTCAATAAATATTAAATTAAGTAATTTAGTTTAAAACGAACTAAAACTTCAAAATTAGTCCCTAATGGATTAAATATGGATGTCTATCATTCAGTAGTCATGTTTAATTTGAAATTTGGGTAAATTCTAGATTTAGTAAGAAAAGCTATTACATAATCTATGAGATTAGTAGGTTGAGTAATCGAATGACACTTTTTAAAATAGCATCATTGGATTCAGCATACAAAAATCTATAAAATGTCTTAAAATTACATCAATTGATAAAGTATTCTGGCTTTTATACCACTTTTAGTGAAAAACGCTTAAAAATTTGGTCCATACCCTCCCAGTATTTTTCCTCTTTCAGGGTCTACCCCGGTTGTCTGAAAAAACTGCTGTTTTTTAATGACTAAAAAATTCATAACTTTTTTGTTTATGGTCATATTTTGAAAATTCAAACTGATCTGTAATCAGATTGACAGCCCCTATCCAAATATGTAACTATTATATTGTTTTACTGAAATTAAATTTTTGCATTGGCCTAGCTAAAGACTCCGACTCAGAGACTGCTTATAAAAATTAATAACAGTTTTAGTTACCAATTTAGAGACCAATAAAGATGATCCATTTGTTAAAAGAGATTTTCGATCATTTATCTGTCGGACTATAACAATTGAACTTAATCTGGGTACTACGGAGCGGGTACAAACACCGATAATGGATGGAAGCAACTTCACGTTCTTCACCAACGCAGCCATTTTGTAATAAACTAAATGAAAGTGCACATGAAGGTCGTTTGTTGATTTTACGACATAGGCCAAGGCCTAACAACAAAAGGAATAACACCGTAATTTAAATTGTATATTTTAAATATTTGTTCACGTTGTAATACTTTAAATTTACTATTTTTTTGTATTTACAAAATTAATTAAACAATACTAATACACTGTATAAAATACAGTATTACTACCCTTAAGTTTGTACATAGACCAAATTATTATCATCCAATAATCAATGAACGCATAATTTATTTTCTTACTTGTTATTTATGAAACTCGTTTCATTGATATTAAAAGAAAATTTTATAATCAACGTATAGCTTGCATTAAATCAGCAAATGTGTTGCGTTCTATTTAAATCAACTTATACATAACCTATCGATTGTATATTTATTAGCCAAAAGGCTTTCGTACTTTTACTTTCTCGTATACGAGAAAGTCTTGTAATCGTGTAAAAAAAAATCGCTTTTACACCTCCCTGAGTGGGAAAAACATAGTTTTGCAATCTTGTCCGTATGTCTGTGTGTGTATGTGTGTCTGTCTGTCTGTTTAAGTGGTAACACGATAACTTGAGTACCGTTACAGCTAGGTTGATGAAATTTCATATATAAGTATTATATCAAAATCGTATATCCGTATAAACTTTTGAGCGATTTCCGATAACCGGAAGTGGTACTTTTTCTACTTTGAATTTTTCAAAAGCCTATAACTTGAGTACTATTTCATATAGAAAAATGAAATTTCACAAGTAAGTAAAAGATTTAATTTTCTGCCCTCTGTCAAATTTTGAGTTATTTCCGTTGACCGGAAGTAGTAAATTATGCTATTTCCGATTTCTCAAAAAACGCATGTAAATTTATAAAGTACTAATAATATTTCGCACTATTATACACAATTTGTTTGGAGTTTACTTGGTGCGCAATTCTTTTTTTCTACGATATTCCATTCTATTTTAAAAAGTTTAAGTAATTAAAAATGGATTAAAAATCATGTCTATATCCCTAGTTGCCACCCCCGTGGCGTTATATAAGAATATTCGAAAAAGTTTAGGGGAGATCACTCCCAGTTTATTTATTTTATTTCCGATATCTTGCTCCAGTCCAGTGGGATTTTAAAGCAGCTTCTTTCTGGTATCCCTTTGAGGGGGGGGGGGGGGGGGGGAGCGCATGGCCTCGCTGAAGCAAAATATACACTTTGACCATTGTCGGGAGCCAATACGTCGGGGCCTTTTTTGACGGGGCTATTTTGACTGTGTCGTTTTGTCGGAAGCCGAGCTGTCGGGTTCGTTTTGTCACGGGCCAATTTGACGGTGCACCGTTTCCGTGTCTCGCGCTTCATTTTCCAGTTTTGTTGTTTATAACCAGGGTATGCAAGAATAAAGAAAAACGACTATGACGTAGGTGCGCATTAGCCTGATTTTTAATCAAATAAATATTACTAGTGCAGCACACAAAAACTAATGGTTTCACATCAGTGTTCCTCGTCAGACAAGTGTATAGGGCCTATATATAACTTAGGGTTACCCTGACTTACCAATAAACTTTTCCGTAGGCTAGACCTGGGGGGAAACAGGGCTCGTTGTTTCCCGGTCCCATGAGAACGAGATAGCTGTCTCGCGATGCCGTGACGTACATGTCTAGACAGCTGCTATCAGGTTCTTCTAAAAACTTTCGTAAACAAAATATTGCGTGGATCTCTGCTTCATCCAGCGTTCTATAATTAGACTCTCGGTGCTATCTGCTACACTAAACGTTCTTTGGGCAAGATTCGGTGTAGTCTTTAGGTCTATATTAAGGGCGCCTCTTGTTTATAAGGTCTATTTGGTAAGAGCCTTAGCACTATTTAACGAACGCATTTTTTAGTCATAAAATTATAATCCAATTTGTAAGCCTTGACAGGGGGGGATCTGAAACCCTAATTCTATAGTAACTCCCTCCCCCCTCCAGGCTAAATCTACTATCGTGCGTCAGTGCAACCGTGGCTAAACCCACGGAAGTTAAAACCATAACCTTAATCTAGATAAAGAAACAAAAAATAAATCAGCGGAACAAACTTAATTTACATTTTTTTAAAATGAAACCTTCAATATTAAAAAGAAATATTGAATACGCTTCATTCTAACTCTCGTCAAAAGAACCTCTAAACAAACAACAAACAAACAACATAGGAACAGAAACATTTCGCACAGGCCTCGACATTCCCTTTAATGTTACATGGTACTACGTTCACGAACTAATTAACCAACAAAGCAAACAAACACATCCAATCAAACTAACATTTAACAAACAACCAACCAAAATAACCAAATAAATATACAAATCAAATAAAAACCAAACTAAGTTGCAAATGCAACCTGAAAGGAAAAAAGAAAAAGAAACTTGAATTAAATTGCATGGAAAATATATACATATATGTATCCCCCCCCCCCCCCCCCCCGCACGCCACTGACGGACAGAATAGCAAAACCCAGTTTCTCCGACTCGATTACGAATAAAGCGCTAAAGTTTTGATAAACCTGGATTTATAACTTTTCCCGATTAAAATAAGTCCCTTTGTGATGAAGTACTGAGGCGTAAAGCGGTGAAAACTTTCAAAATGTCATGTGATTTTTGTGCACGAATACAATACTTCCTCTATACTCTGTATACGATAAAGTAATAGCGTATTGTAAAATTATTTTGATACACTACATTTAATTTATACCAAATTTTGTGTAGCACGCAAATTGTAAAATTACTTTGATAGACTGTACCAAAATGTTTATAGCTCATATTGTAAAATTATTTTGATATACTGTACCAAAACGTGTATAGCGCATATTGTAAAATTACTATGATAGACTGTACCAAAATGTGTATAGCGCATACTGTAAAATTACTTTGATAGACTGTACAAAAACGTGTACAGCGCATATTGTAAAATTACTATGATAGACTATACCAAAATGTGTATAGCGCATGTTGTAAAATTCCTTTGATAGACTGTACCAAAATGTATATAGCTCATATTGTAAAATTACTTTGTTATACTGTACCAAACTGTATATAGCGCATATTGTAAAATTCCATTGATGGACTACAAAAATGTAGATAGCGCATATTGTAAAATTACTTTGATAGATTGTACCAAAATGTGTCTAGCGCATATTGTAAAATTACTCTGACAGACTGTACCAAAATGTAAAATTACTCTGATAGACTGTACCAAAATGTAAAATTACTCTGACAGACTGTACCAAAATGTAAAATTACTCTGACAGACAACATGTGTAAGAAAGCGCGGGGCACTCGCGAGACGAGCGTAACCTTGATAACTTGTGCATGTATCTGCAGGTTTTCCATGTTTACTCAACATGCATACATGTTGCTAAAGAAGGAGTTTTTTTCTCTTCGATATGTTAATTGCATTGTGATTAAATTTAGTTTCATTATCAATTGCGATAGTCAGCTGCAGTTTGGAATTAGCTAAGTGCTCACGGATTTTTAAAGGTGTTACTTTATTTTTAAAAACGCGGATACTAAATCAGGATATATTATTTGTTTTAAAAGACCGTGATTGTTTGTTTGTTGTTTTTTTTTTAAAGAAAATATTGAAGAAGAAAAATAATTACTAGGGTATCTTGAGAACAATAGAGCTACGGAAAAAAAACAATTATGAGAAGTGTCGGCGCTACTTGTGTGCTTTTATGTTCTGTGATCACTTCAGCTGTCGCAAACACGAACACGACTTCTCTGGACCAACTGAGAGAAGCCACACAGCAGGTAAACTACACCTTTGTCCTTTTTGAACTCAGCTGTTGTTAATGAAAGCTTTTACTGTAAAGTTCTCTTTTCGAACCTGACAGTCCATTGTAGAGTTTACCTGTTTCTTTGACCTCTGTATATGATGGTATATTGTGGTCAGCAATGTGCCCAGCCGCTTTTACTTTCCCTAACATGAGTTAGGTGCCCATCATTAAACGTTGTGTTGAGGGGGACAGAGACGTAATTAACGTTGGGTTAGAGCAGAAACGTAACTCAATTAGTAAATAATGGTAAACCACTAGACCCAAACCTCCATATAAATTCTCCACAGGTTATTTCAAATTGTGTCTGTGTTTGTTTTATGTGTTCTCCTTAGATTCATGTATCTGTGTTCTTTGCCATTGATTATATATATATATATATATATATATATATATATATATATATATATATATATATATATATATATATATATATATATATATATATATATATACATATATATATATATATATATATATATATATATATATACATATATATATATATATATATATATATATATATATATATACATATATATATATATATATATATATATATATATATATATATATATATATATATACATATATATATATATATATATATATATATATACATATATATATATATATATATATATATATATATATATATATATATATATATATATATATATATATATATATATGTTTACATAACCCCACTAATATATGTTTATGTCTCCCCCACAGGCCACTATAAATGGCTTCGATTCCGCCATGTACAATCGCTACACCCCTCCGCCCCCAACTGAAATCAACTGCTACGTCGAAGTTGAAGTAGTAAGTCTTATTTTGTATCTAGCCTGCCATTTAATTTTACCATGAATTTTTGCCTTGCGTGTTTTTGTTTGTTTTTTCCCACAGGTCAATCATCATAGAAGTGACGTCATGTGGTGGGGTGACGCTCAGTACTGTAATCAAGCTTGCCACCCCCTTACGCCAAAGATTACATTAAAGCATCACAGCACGCTGTAAGATCTTCAAAAAATCGCTTCGATGATATTTTTTTATATACAGACACAAGAAATAGATAGATTAAAGTCGGAATTTGAGTTTTTAATTCACACAATAATTGAACAAGTCAGTCTCGCCCATCTTTGTAGTTTCAGCTTAAAGCTCCCGTCGCCAAAGGTCGGCCTCTGTTGCGTTTTCCTTTTGGGTTCAACCTCAATGTTTAAAATATGCCCCAGTGTTTATTATCAGATTGTGTGAACTAATGCCCCAATGTTTATCATCAGATTGTGTGAACTAATGCCCCAATGTGTATCATCAGATTGTCTGAAATAATGCCCCAATGTGTATCATCAGATTGACAACGTGTGGACTGATGCCTTAATCAACTTAATGTTTATTATCAGATTGTGTGAACTAATGTCTTAATCTTTATTATCAGATGGACAGTGTGTGAACTAATGCCAATATTTACCATCAGATTATGTGAACTAATGCCATAATGTTTATCATCAGACTGAACGAGTTGGTGGGCAGTGTGTGAACTAATGCCTTAATGTTTACAATCAGACTGTGTGAACTAATGCCTTAATGTTTATCATCAGACTGTGTGAACTAAGGCCTTAATGTTTACCATCAGACTGTGTGAACTAATTCCTCAATGTTTACCAACAGACTGAACGAGTTGGTGGGCAGTGTGTGAACTAATGCCTTAATGTTTACCATCAGACTGAACGAGGTGGTGGGCAGTGTGTGAACTAATGCCTTAATGTTTACCATCAGACTGTGTGAACTAATGCCTTAATGTTTATCATCAGACTGAACGAGTTGGTGGGCAGTGTGTGAACTAATGCCTTAATGTTTACCATCAGACTGTGTGAACTAATTCCTCAATGTTTACCATCAGACTGAACGAGTTGGTGGGCAGTGTGTGAACTTAGGGTCCAGTGACAAGATGGTTTGCCAGTCTGGAGTGCACCTGTCATTTGATGCCGGATGCCCCAGTCCCAGCACCACCACCGCCCCCACTACACAACGACCACGCAGGAGGGGAGGCGCCCCCAGAGCGACCAGCGTCACAAGAACGACAACCAGAACGACGAGACGACCAAACAACACTCGCTGAAAAAGTTGTTACAAACAAAATTTATATTTACAAATACTTTTTTTTTGTTGGTGCGACAAAGCTTTTGTTTATACTGTAATCATACTGTAATAGTACTCACGTTATCGTGTTCACAGACACAGAGACACACAGACATACAGACAAGATTTAAAAATGTCGAGATTTGTGAAAATCTCGATTTCGATTTTTCGCACGGTTACAATATTTCCTCTGTACTCAGCATACGAGAAAGTAAAAATGATCACCTATTTTAATTCAAAAAAATCTCTTCAAGTTATAGATCTATATTTGTAAAAAGTTGTAGACAAGGGCACTATTTTCTATAAATAATGCACAATTTACGTAGTGTAACCGATCATCCATTTATGAGTGCGATGGGGGTGGGGAGGTATAGGATGGGTATGTAAGGGGTGAACTTTATTAAAAACTAACGTGAAGGTTCTTACAGTTTTTTCAGTGAGATGGTTGGGATTGTGTGTGTGTGGGGAGGGGGGGTCTCATTATAGTCGCCTGTTAATTCGTGCCCTTGACATTAAAACTTTTCCTTTTTTTTCATTACAGGGACTCTCAAATCATTCACAGGTCTATCCACAGCCAGGGACATTACAAGCTGAGCTGCTACTTCATTAACATGACAATAAACATTAGAGATGACATCCCTTTTGCTCACTTATTCTTCATTGTTTTTATATGGGGTGATGTTGTTTTTGTTGTTATTTTTTGTTGGAGGGGGAGGGGGTAATGATAGCTGTAATGTAAATAAATGTTGAAAGAATTACGAAACAATATTAATCTTATGATGGTGCTGACCAAACTATTCCTTCATATGGTGAGGTTAAGGAATCAGGTGAACTCTACTTCATCTCTCCCCATGGGCTGCCTGGTTCAAAAGGTTAACGATTTATCTAATGAACTAAAACTGATAAATACAACATCATAAAATAGTCTGAAAATATGCATATATGTATAAATGTATGTATGTAAGTGTATGTGTGTGCCTTGTGGGTTTCGCCCAGAAGTAAAATATTTCCTCAGTACACTAAAGGGCACAGATATTTTTTTTTAACTTTTAGGCCCCACCCCCCTAAAAATATTTGGGCGGGGTGGCGACGACGACTTGTTTTTATAATAATAGTTTTAAGATAAGGGACCATGCATGTTAAATGACACAGACATGTAACCTCACACAGCGTTATGCAACATTTCCTTAGACCACCGATCAGGTAATGTGTTATCCGTTCAAGAGCGCCCAGCATAAATTATTTAGTCCAGTAAACGATTACAGGTATAAACTGTTACAGGTTTGGGATGTGAATTTATTGCCATCTTGTGACATTATTTTAAAAAAAAATGCTTTTAAAGTAAGTGTGTTGTATTTGATGGTGTTTAGAGCTGATGTGGTACATTGAATACACGACGAACGAGCTAAAAATACGAAGAAAATAATCTAATAATAAATCATCATTAGGCCTTTCAAGTTATTTGATTTGTTTATTATTTATATTTCTGCTAATTATAATTTATAATAATATATTATTTATTTATATAATCTTATTATATTATATTTATTAAATTTTTATTTATAATTCTACACAAACAGTTTAATGTTTTGTTTTTTTGTTTTTTACAACTTTTAAAATAACTTATTGGAGAAATTCTACTCAAAACAGTAAGTTAATATATTGTTTTACAATTTTAAAAATAATTTATTGGAAAAAATCTATTTTATTTGTTATATTTTTATTTATAATTCTACGCGAACTATTTGTTTTGTTTAACAGCTTTAAAAATAATTTATGGGAGAAATTCTACATAAACAATAAGCAGCGTTTCTTTCAGACTTTTTTCTCCGGGGGAGGGGCACTAGATATTTTCGGGAGGGGGGGGGCAGACAACATTTGTCCGGGGGGTGGGGAGGGCAGACACTGGTAAAAGTATATGTTTTCTATATAAATTCCATTTCGTTCGGAGGGGGGAGGGACGGTAGATGAAAACAACTTAAATTCTATATAAACAGTAAGTTTAATAATTTGTTTAACGACTTTTAAAATAATTTATGTGAGAAATTCTACATAAACAATAAGTTTAAGGTTTTGTTTTACAACTTTAAAAATAATTTATGGGAGAAATGCAGAGGCGTAGCGACGGGGGAGCGGGGGGGGGGGGCGTATATATGTGCCCGGGCGCCGACCCTAGGGTCGCCAAAGTAGGTTGGAAAAAAAAGCTTTTTTTTTTGCTGCAGTTTTGAATTATAAATATAAAAATATATGGGGGGGGGGGGGGGGGCGCCAAATTGAAAGTTTGTCCCCGGGCGCCGGGAGGAATAGCTACGCCTCTAGAGAAATACTTCACGAACAGTAAGTTTAATGCTTGTTTAAAACAACTTTTAAAAATAATTAACCGAATTAGTTTTACACCAACAGTAAGTTTAATTTTTTGTTTAACGACTTTTAAAAATAATTAACCGAACGAGTTGTCCACCAAGAGTAAGATTAAGCACGTGCTGAATGCGCGGGCCGACGTGAGTGCTCACAGATTCCATGTGCACCTGACATGCACGTGCCCCATATTAAATGAAACCTGTTCTTTCAAACTGTCATGCCTGTATCTGTTTGTAGAACTCGCCTGTATCTGTTTGTAGAACTCTTTTTTTAAGCTTTCATTTCAAATGATATCAGCTGTCTGGTTTAAGAACAATCACTCAGTCATTAACTCGTTAGCCAATCGTTTTAAAGGAATTTTTTTTTTTAAATATGTGGAAAAATTTATAATTCTAATTATATATAAAAAAAATTTTATTTAATGTTAATTACAGTTTGGTTCTGAAACTAATACGTTGTATTTTTTTTTTAAATATAAAGTTTTAAAGTGTTGAATTCTGGGGCAGTTGGAGCGCGAACAAGATGGCGTGTGTCGTATGGATGAACGCCCTGCTTTTCTTGGCTGTGGCTCTCTGTGTGGTCACGGTGTCACGGTCCCAGGTTCCAGCCCAGCAGACGAATGAGCAGACAAATGGAGCGTCAATTCTGCAACAATTGGCATCGTTGAGGAACGGAACTCGCCAGGTAATGGATAGCTTGTGATACTTGCATGCTCGCTTTTTTTACTATACAAACGTTACACTTTATTTATGGGATGACTGGTGATATTGGGAGTGATAGTTTTTACTATACAAACGTTTAACTTTATGGTGCTATTGGGAGTGATAGTTTTTACTATACAAACGTTTAACTTTATGGTGATATTGGGAGTGATTGTTTTTACTATACAAACGTTTAACTTTATTTATGGGGTGACTGGTGATATTGTGAGTGATAGAACCATATAAAATTTTGAGTGCTAAGTAAAAAAAAGTCTTTTAGTGAAAAATAATATAACGTGTGTTAAGGCTTAATTTAAAAACAAATATAGATCTGCATCGTTCAAGAACGGCACTCGTTAGTCAATGTACCACTTGTGATATTTACGTACTCACTTTTTCATCATACAAACGCTGAACTTTATTTACGTGATGATTGGTGAGCTTGAGAGAGAAAAAAACCACATAATGTTTCGAGTGCTTAATAAAAAGAAAATCTTTTCGTGAATAATAATATAACGTGTATTAATGCCAGCTTTTAAAAAAAATGGTTATAGATCTGCCTCAAACAGTGTTTCTTCCAGACTTTTTTCTCCGGGGGGGGGAACACTTGAAATTTTCGGGGGGGGGGGGGGCGGTAAACTTTCTTCGGGGGGGGGGGGGGGGCGGACACTGTTAAAAGTATATATTTTCTATATAAATTATATGAATTTCATTTCGTTCGGGGTGGGGGGGGGGGAGGGCGGTAACATTTTTTCGGGGGGGGGGGGGGGGGACTATGCCCCCCCCCCCCCGAAGAGATGCCTGGAGATTACTGAGAGACACAGCTCATCTAAGAAAAAAAAGCCTGTAGAAATCTATGCATATCGTGTAGTTCATTTTTATAGGGCACACAAATAGTAATATTTTTTTAAAGGAACTTTTTGAAACAAGATACCATGAGCACTGGCGCCTACTAAAATTGTACTAAAAATTAATTTATTGAGACATTTTTTCAAGTATCATTTGCATCGAGGAGGTGCACAATAAATAAATAAATATATAAATATATATATATATATATATATATATATATATATATATATATATATATATATATATATATATATATATATATATATATATATGTGTGTGTGTGTTTCTATCAGATTCCCGTGAACATCAGCGAGGAGACGATGGCCCAGCTAAACCCGAATCTGCTGCAGTACACTATGGCGGCGCCGACTGCTACGGAGATCAATTGTTACTTTGATATCCAAACGGTAAGATGGTGTATCCAATAATGTATCCAATCAATCGTTTCTTGGATATATAAAACGGTAAGATGATATACCCAATCGTTACTTTAATATCCAAACGGTAAGATGGTGTATCCAATCGTTACTTTGATATCCAGACGGTAAGATCGTGTATCCAATCGTTACTTTGATATCCAGACCAGGGGCGGAACTACCATACCGCCAGACCCCGCAATGCGGGGGGGGGGGGGGGCCAGGACGTTTAGGGGCCCAGTTCCGACCAAAAAACAATGCATTTTTTTTTTCAAAGATTATGTTTTCATGCATCTTGAAAGTGGTTTTGTAAAAAAACAAAAAAAAAAAAAAACAGGTCTACTATAGCAGAGATTGTTGCGTAGAAAAATATTTTAAAATCTACAAGAGCTATAGTTTGAAAGGTAGGTAAACATTCACACTACTTCCATGACTTACTGCCCTTCTTTAAAATAGGGATGCCCACGAAGCTCATTTAAATAGTTTTGTACTATGTATATTAAAAAGCAATTGATTCTCTGAATTGTTACTTAAATAAGACGTACTATACAACAGTATAGCTATAAAAATCAATGTTTTCAAAATTGATATTATAAAAGCCAAAAAATGAAAAAAATAAACATAACGCGAGAAACCATTCACGAATCAAACTAACGTCTTTATATATTTTTGATCAGCATGTTTAAGACGCTTGTACCAGTATAAATTGTGATTGGACTAAATTTTTTCTGTTTTGTTCTCTCAGAATGGTTATATATTGCAATGAAGTAAACTAAATTACTCAGGATATAGATCATATATATATATATATATATATATATATATAGGGGGCCCTAGATTTTTCTTTGCGGGGGAGCCCTTGATTTCTAGTTCCGCCACTGATCCAGACGGTAAGATGGGTTGTCCGGATAATAAGGATTAAGGAAAGATGTAGGCATCGAGTTAGGACTATACACCTAGCGTTAAGTAACCGGTACGTTTAGCGTTATGTAACTGGTACGTTTTAGCTTTAGATAGCTGGTACGTTTAGCGTTAGGTACCTGGTATGTTTAGCGTTAGGTACCTGTTACGTTTAACTTAAGGTAACTGGTACGTTTAGCTTTAGGTAACTGGTACGTATAGCGTTATGTAACTGGTACGTTTTAGCTTTAGGTAACTGGTACGTATAGCGTTATGTAACTGGTACGCTTTAGCTTTAGGTAACTGATATGTTTAGCGTTAGATAACTGGTATGTTTAGCGTTAGGTAACTGGTACGTTTAGCGTTAGGTAACTGGTATGTTTAGCGTTAGGTAACTGGTATGTTTAGCGTTAGGTAACTGGTACGTTTAGCGTTAGGTAACGGGTACGTTTAGCGTTATGTAACTGGTACGTTTAGCGTTAGGTAACTGGTGTGTTTAGAGTTAGGTAAATGGTACGTTTAGCGTTAGGTAACTAATTCGTTTAAAAAGATATTCTATAGTGAAAGCTTCCTAAAAAAACAATTCTATTATTCTTGTAGCAGTTTAGTCATCTTGATACCCACAATGCCTGCTTTTCAATTATTTTAATTCGATTAAAATTAATTAGTCAAATAACATTGGTGAATGCGTAGATAACATATTAAATATTTTTTTAATCAACACAATGAAAGTAAACTTTATATTTAAGTAGGACTCGTAAAATTAAATTACCCATATAATCCAGTGGCGTCTCTAGGTCGGGTGTCGTATGGTAGGGGACCCTCGCCCCAGCCTGCTCCTGATAACATTACTGACTGTTGAAATTAAATCTCAAATCTCCATTCGATACGGGCTATAACCAGTCTTCTTGCTCTTTATGTTACGTGCACTTGTAGAAAATACTACGTCAATAATCCTACAGTTTGGGATTTCTATGGCTTTTGTGACAATTTTTATTTTCTATTTACTTAAACATAAAAAAAAAACATTGTTAGGAATATATATATATATATATATATATATATATATATATATATATATATATATATAGGGCTGGTAAGTAGGTCACCAACCAGTTCTACGGCTCAATAAAACCTGCATGAGACATAGAGCTGGTTGGTGACCTACTTACCAGCCCTATAGAAAAAAAAAGAAGTTATAAACCAAAATGAATACCATTGTACCGTTTTATGTTTTCATCAGATTCAACGTATTGGTGGTCAATGTGTGTCGGTGGGGCGGACAGGTAACCAGAGGGTGTGTCAGGCAGGGATGTACCTGTCCATAGTAGACGACTGCGTCGAGCAAGCCACGACCCGACCTCGCAACAACAGACGGCGTGGTAATCGTAACAACAGACGTCACCACGATAAGCGCTAAAGAACACGGAGCCACCGGCATCTTTCAAACTGAGAACTATGCTCTAATAAACTAATAAAATGCAACTTTTTATTATCATGTGCACAGGATTGTTTTTAAAATTTCTCTACATGTACATACGTTGTTAATTTTATTTTCCGCATTTTTTGTTTATTTTACACAAAAATAAACCGGGAGTGATCTCCCCTAAACTTTTTTCAAATATTCTTATATAACACTACGAGGGATGGCACCTCGGGATATAGACATGATTTTTAATAAATTTTTAATTACTTAAACTTTTTTAAAATAGTGAAAACCAAAAAATCCGTGTATAATAGTGCGGAATATTATTAGTACTTTATAAATTCACATGCGTTTTTGAGAAATCGGAAAAATAGTGTAATTACTACTTCCGGTCTACGGAAATTTTGACAAAATGCAGAGAATTAGATCTTTTACTTACATGTGAAATTTTATTTATGTATCTGAAACAATACTCAAGTTATAGGCTTTTGAGAAAATTAAAAGTAGAATAAGTGCTTATTCCGGTTACCGGAAATCGCTGAAAAGATACAAAACTACAAATTTCATATAATACTTATATGAAATTTCATCAACCAAACTGTAATAGTAGTCGTTATCTTGTTCACACACACACACACACATACACACATACAGACATACGGACAAGATTGAAAAATTATGTTTTTCCGACTCAGGGACGTGTTGATTTTTTTTTTTGCACGATTACAATACTTTCTCTATACTTCGTATACGAGAAAGTTAAAATGCAAGTGTTTAAATCTGTATTTAGAAAAATCCACAAGTTTAGAAATTTAAAGTTTATAAACCAAACCAAAAAGATAGGGGGCCTACCGTTTGGGTGCACCCATAATTGACGTCTAACTTTTTTGACGATTGTTACCTTCCCCCATCCCCCTAAAATGACGTCACGCCTCAGCCTACAATCCCCCGCAAAATCTTGTCTGAACTCTGTCAACAGAGTATTCTCATCAATTCTATCACACCCCCCCCCCCCCCGCACTGTCAGGTTCGAAAAGGGAACTTTACCTTACAAAGCAATTACAAACATGTGCTGCAGACAAAGTAGAGTTCACGTGTTTCTATTACCTCGGCAAATGAAGGGATAGTGTGGTCAGCACTATGCGCGTATTAACATTTGTGTAGTCCATAAATGAAGTCAAACTCCTAAAGATGGGAAAATGTGTCATGTTACTATTTATGACGTGGGTGTGTGTGTGGGGGGGAGGGGTGGCGGTCAAAAAGGGTGCAGTGTTTCTTCCAGACTTTATTCTCTGGGGGGAGGTGAACCTTGATATTTCGGGGGGGGGGGGGGGGGTGGACAACATTTTCCGCGGGGGGGGGGGGGGGGAGGGAGAGAGAGGGCGGACACTGGTAAAACTATATGTTTTCTATATAAATTCCATTTCGTTTGGAGGGGGAATGGAGGAGGGGCGGTAGACTTTCTCCCCCCCCCCCCCCCCCCCGAAGAGATGCCTGGAAGAAACTCTGAAAGGGTGTACTCACATTTTGTCTCTTTTTTCAAAAAAAAAAATAAGGTACTATTTAATATTAAAACTATTTAGCTTTTTATCGCATTTTTAAAGACTTTAGTCACGATGTGTGACCATGGGAGGAAGAAAAAAAGGGGGGGGGGGGGGTCGTCAAAAAGCTTCACGTCAGTTAAGAATGATCACCGTAGGTGTTAAAGAAAAAGAAAAATCTTTTGCTCTCATCACCAAGTATATATAGAAATGAATATTTCCATTCAGAAATTGCGCAATGAAAAATATATAGGCCTACACTCAATATATACACTCAATATATGTATTCAAAAAATGCAATGATCAGTTGTGCGTTTGTTAGTGTGGAGAATTTGCAGGATGATATTGTATTGAATAAATATCCCCCCACCCTTAAAAACCTATACGAGTTGTCTCACTTTGTACATAAATCATTACAGCAAAATGACAGATTTTAAAATATTTTTTTAGGCATGAAATCTATGTAATCATTCTAAATTTTTAAAAAAAATCTTTTTAAAATCTATGGCAAGCGATGAAATTATGGTCACATTTGTAAAAATTAAAGATGTTTGTGAACTATCGATTACACTCTTTTTTTGCATCGAATATAAGCAGTTGACGTTGAAAAGTCGTTTAGAATTATTTTATCAATTCAAGTATTTTCATAAACTGTCCCCGACCTCTCCTTGAAACCGTCAACCGGAATGGCCAGGGAGAAAAAAAACAATTAGAGTTAAAACAATTGTTTTCCAATAATAAAAATACATAATAGTGACCTATAGTTTATAGCGTACTAATGTATTAATATTAAATAATATAACATCCCCAATCACCAAAACACCCAGACTCTACTAATCCAAATTAAAAATAAAAGTGTTAGCTAAATTACTATTATATTACTAGTAATTATTTATTTGACTATGCTTTTTTATAACAAAAATTTTGAACCATTTGGAACCACCTTTTCAAATCTATAGCCAAAAATAACTAGACTATTTAAAAAATTGTGCTACGTTAAAAACAAATCTCGTATTTTAATTCGGTCGTCCATAATTTTGACAATGCACAGAGAAGTTAGAGGCAGACATGGAACAGACAAAACAGCCTGAACAAAAAGGACCTCGTCAGATTAGCCACCCAAAAAAATCTCCCGACCATACGACTGCTAAAAAATAATTGATAAAGCTGTGTGATGATTCCTTGTTCCCGGGCTCACTTTAAAGGGCAGGTAAATTTAGCATACCAGTGTTTTATTTATTTTAACACACACAAAAAGAAGTCTAAAGACCACACACATTGTCATTTAACAATAGTGTTTGAAACAAAATGAGAAGTGGAGGGGTGGGGGTAAAAAATGGGTGGATTGGGGATGTCCCGTTACGCTAATTGAAGTGACGTAACAGATAACTCTTGTGGACAGTAGCCAAAAAAAAAAATAAGTTACCTCCCTGCTGACAAATCTAGGTTGGCTGTGAATAGGTCGATGGGTGCAGACGTTCTTCGTTTAATTTCACAATACTAAACTCAAGCAGGTAATACCCAGCAGACTTCAAAGAGCTCTTATCAACTATATAAATGTATTTTATTCTTCCAAGGAACTTTTGTCTACAAAGTTGGGTTCTTAATTTCTTTTAAATGGGTCGGTTGTTTGTTTTGTTTTTTTCTCTCTCTCCCGCCGAGGTCGTTTGTTTGGGGCGTCTCGATTAGATAGTTGCATCCGCTGTCTAGACAGGGGGCAATTTACCGCCTCGCCTCGTCGTGTGAGGCGCTGATTGTACGGGTCCAACGTAAACAGACGCGAAGCCTGCCCCCTGGCGGATGAAATCCGGGCTAATTGACAAGTAGATGGGCGATTGCAAAGGGTGGGTGTTTTTAATGCTGCTATTCATCGTGTTGAAGTGAGCCAGAAACAATTTGGGGGTCGCCGTGCACTTCAGGTGACCCGGGAAATTTTGTTTAGACAAGGATGATCAGACGAGCATTATCTTCGGACTCAGGGGGTCCACTTTTATTTACAGTAACGTATCTAATCACACGCCCGGACCCGAATAATTACTCTGGAAACAACCTAAGAAAACAGGACCGAGAATCAGTATCTAGAACGTAGGCAATATTGTATGATACAAATTTAGATTCATGTAGCCCTGTGATGAAATAATGCAGTACTTAGATTTTTTAATATTCAGGCTATAATATTGCAAAAGTATTAGAAATTTCTTTTTCAAAAACTTCATTAACAAACGAAATTTTGAAACTTGCATGCATAAAAAATATTCTTATTGTTTAGACAAATCCAAAACAAATTTAAGCTGTGTACTGGTGACAATGTACGCAAAAATTACGTTAAAAAATGTTGTTATTTTTGCCGATTCATCACACACACACACACACACACACAAAGCTAAATCTCTTTAAAAGACAACACAAAAATCAATCTTCACCCCCCCCCCCCCAACCCGAAATAAACTGTAATACTAACGTGATTTAACTTACTTTTTCAACGTGTTTTTCTTTAAGAAATAAAAAAATGCTACGTCACTTAAGTTCACACTAAAGGGTGCTGTATCATTTCGGTAAGTGGAAAAGTCACCAAAAAAAAGTCACCCGCCCGACCAAGTTGGGATTTGTGGATGCTCTAGTCTATTTCAATGTCGGCATTTTTACCGTCAGGCCTTATTAATTAATTATAGCTTTGTTGTCTAATGAGCGTGGTAAAAGTAGACTTCAAACCTGGCTGAACTGTTGTTGCGATGAGGTGGGGACAGCAAATCATATTAAGTATATTGGCTTTCGACAATGTCACGCGAATTCATAGTTCGTATTTTTAACTATTCGATGAAAACAGGAGTCAGTCGGTTGGAGCATTCTGTTAAATTCTATCAAATGTTATGTATATAACCATATTAAAACTTACATACTTCAGACTATTTTAAGCGTGTTATAAATATCACCATACGAATACAACCTTCGTACATGTAGCCTATATAAAAATTTTACATTAAATTTAATCTCTTCTTTTTCTTCTTCGTTCTTAATTATTAGTGTTGAAGGGGATCGAGATTTATCTGCCAGTGCGTTTGAACTCGAGACTGTTCGAATTTATCAACCATGAGCTTTTTGCCGACTCGACCACGCCTCCAACACAATTAAGCGTTACGTAAATTTAATCAAAATTAAATAAATCCTGTTCATTTGTACTTTTTCAATACTTAACAATTAAGTGTATTAATAATTAACCAATTCCATGCAAATACGCATTTTCGACTTTTTTTTCCATTGCCTTTTATTTCCAGTGATTTTTTTCCCCCCAGGTCAAGTCATTCTTTATTGGCGACCACCACGGTTTATAAAAGTAGCGGATTTTTATTTTCTCTTTAGCATAAAAAAGGTCGGAAACTGAAACTGCTACGGTTAAATTAAGTTAATTATTTATTATTGTGAAATGTATCACCCAGACAGCTTTGTTAAGGGGAGCCCTGGGCAGTAGAAATGGAGAAAGTAATGGTAAAAAGTTATTAAAACGTTTTATTACAACCTTTT